CTCTCCAGTCACATGAATGACACTCAGTTTCTTCAGATGGGTGCTTTGTTTCTTCTGAGTCATCTTCTGTTAAAAATAGTGGTGTAATAAATATCTGTTTTTTAAAGCTAGAATATTTTACAACTATGTATATGTAGGATTAATGCTTCATCTTCAGTAATAAATAGGTCACTTGTGAATGTAAACACTGTTAAGGGGTATCAATTTTGAGTAAATAGTATTGATGAGAGTTAAAATAGTTGAACACTAGACAGGTTCTATCTAATGATACACAATTCAGATCAACACACATTCTTCCCCTCTTTCGGCAAGGTACTTTGAGGCAAGGAGTATGTTGATAAATACATACTTAAAGTGACTATCTTTAATGTTTAATATAATTTACATAATTACTTTTATTGATTCTTTTATGCTTCATTACTCTTTTCAAAAGTAATGGGATAGTTGCTACTTTCAGTTCATTGTCATGCTTTTCCTCCCCTCTGCAACCAAGCAGGGATCAAGCATTATTGGATGTGCTCTTAGCTAATAAATTGTTCATGAACACACCATGGACAGTGGTCCTGACAGTGGTCGGTTGCTGCAAGTGACGTATGACGTTTGTGAGAACTTGAAACAGCTGAGAATCACAGCATTGAATGAAGGAGCTGGCCTGGCTCAGTAAAGCCCAAGGAAACAAGAAGAGGATGAGCCAGAAACTTGCCAGGGGAGGGGACAGACTGAGCAGGGCCCTGGCAGGCTGCTAGGAGGGTGCATGGAAGGTGTGAAGAAGCAGGTGTGTCCACAGGATTGTATCTAAAGGGAAATGTGCCTCATGGCGCAGCACACAAGGAAGGACAGCTCAGACAAAGAAAGAGGCAGGGGTGCCACTCATCTGCAGAGATAACTGTAGCAAGTGCTTTGAAAACACACATTTTAGTATGTTTGTTTCGGCATTTTAAAGGCAGATTCAGAAACATCACACATCTCTCTTGAGAACGAGAGGCTGTGGTGGTTAAGCCACAGGCTGTGGAATTGGATCTGAGCTCTGACTCAGCTGGAAATTACTTAGCCACTGTCTCAATTTCCTCAACTGCTGATTTCTTTATCTGTTATTTATAGCACTGTTGTGAGAATGAAGAGTGTTTGGGTGTGGACAGCACTCAGGAAAGGGGCTGGCACATATGGTGGCCGTTCTTGCTATGCAATATAACATTTAAAGACCACGACAGAAGGGCTTTCAGGACTTTTAAGTGTTTCTCCTGCTGAATCCACAGGTAGTTCGATAGATCCAAGACCCAGCAATTCATTAACAAGAGAAGAGTGAGTAATTTTCTGTTCCAAAGCTTCATTCTCACATTGGGAATTTGTTTGCAACATTATCCACAACACAATGGTTTCACTTGGATCTGAGTATGATGAGCATTTTGTGTGTCTGAAGCTGTGAATCTTGGGGAAGCAGACCTCTCATCATAATTTAGTTTTGTGGCACATTCATGTGTCATAGCAAGTCCCCACCCCATGGGAACCTCACTCTTGACCTCCTCTTGGGATGCTGCATTTTTTTTCTCCTGCTGTTGCGAACACTTCGTGAATCTTGGGGAAGCAGACCTCTCATCATAATTTAGTTTTGTGGCACAATCATGTGTCATAGCAAGTCCCCACCCCACGGGAACCTCACTCTTGACCTCCTCTTGGGATGCTGCATTTTTTTCTCCTGCTGTTGCAAACACTTCCCAAGATGACTTGGGGCAAAGTTTAATTCAGTCTTCTTTATTTTAAACTCTTTTCTATTTGTCATCCTGTACCCTTGACTTCATAACCACAACTTCCCTCTGACCTTCAGTTTTAAGAAAGGGCAGCCTCTCTCAGGGCAGATGGGCTGAACTGAATCAGGAGCTCACCATGTTTTTTTAAAATCATGTAGAAGATACATTCAGACACGCAAACTGGTGTCCTTATCACAATGAGAGATTCTGACAGGAAGACATACATCAGAGTGAGAGGTGAAGGGACAGAGGGTAAGAACAGTCACCCTCAAATACTGAACTCATGAGTCTTCATCCAGAACCTGAGAGAAAAACCTTGATCAACTCATACCTTTTTTCTACTCTTTAACAAAAACAGATGGTTTTGATGCACTGTTAAAGTTGGTGTAACGAGAAGAGCACGGAGACAGTGGCTTACACACAGATAACAACATGAAAGAATCCTACTACCACCATGGGTGAAAATGATATCTGTTTAGGCTTGGATACCTCTGTCAGATAGAATGGAGGTGTGGGTTCGAATCCTACTTCACCATGGGTGAAAATGATATCTGTTTAGGCTTGGATACCTCTGTCAGATGGAATGGAGGAGTGGGTTCGAACACAATGGTTTCACTTGGATCTGAGTATGATGAGCATTTTGTGTGTCTGAAGCTGTAGAAATATAAGGGTATTTAATAGGGAAAGGCCTTACTTACAGAGCCACCTAGCCAGCTGGCGTGGCAGCAGTCTGTACTCAAGCCCAAAAGAGAAACCGAAAGCGAAATCGCAGTCACCCTACGCCCCCTGACCACGCCCTCGAAAGCTTGTGAGGGCGTGGTCAGGCACACCTGTAGCCAGCCCCTAAGTAGGCATGGCTACAGCTTCCCCTACAGATATCCTTTCCTACATCATCAAGACAGCCACATTTGACCTCTATAATTTATTAAAAAACTTATCTTGCATACAACCTTCAATTTGATTCTGTCTCCTTGCATCCTTTACAGCACTACAAATTATTGGCAATTGCTTTTCTTTCTGAGTCAGTCGTAAAGAAACAAAACTTGTTTTCTGATGATCACACCATTAGTTAGTGAGTGTGCAATGAATATAGGTAGAAAGAACATATTATTTGTTAAGAGATGAGCAAGAGGTCCAGGGATGCAGCTCACCTGGCAGAGTGCTTGGAAAAGCCCTGGTTTTCAATTTCCAGTACTACATAAATGGCGTGGTGATGGGGGTGCACATAATCCCATCATTCACTAAGTGGAGGCAGGGGGCTCAGAAGTTTAAGGTTATTCTTGGGCTACATAATGAAAACCCTAGGACACATGAGACATTGTCTCAGTGAAGAATAGAAGTAGAAAGAAGAGGAGGGTGAGGATATTCCATTATTCTCACTAGCTTGGCAATGACTTCTGCAAACCAGACTCACAGTAAATGCATTCCTCAAAAGACCAGATGACTAATTTACAGAATATTATGGAATGTTATTGGATCTTTAAATTTGTTGTTTTTTGTTTGTTTGTTTGTTTCTTGGTTTATTTTCAGATAGAGTTCCATGTAGCTCTGATTAGCTTCAAACTTCTTACATAGTTCAGGCTAGTCTTGAACTCATGATTTGCCTGTTTCTCCTTAAGTGCTAGGTTACAGATATGTACCACCTGAATGTTTCTCCTTTTAAATGAATAAGAATATGATTGTGAAATTAATGACAGGCAAGGTGGGTAGACCTGATACTGGTACTTGGCCATTCATTATACCCGAGGATGCAATTTGGATGGGATTGCATTGTCTCAGGACTTCCCTGTTGGAGGCTGCTGCCATTCTGATGGAGTGTTTGTTACATGTGAGAGGGTTTGGGCCTCCACACAGAGAGGATATTGCCATTGAGACAAATACATAATAAAGCAATCAAATATTTGTCCTTCTCAAATGGTTTTGTAGTTTGGGGCCTGCATTCACCCCTTGATTTTTGCCATTAACCTCAGACTCCAGTTTCTTTGCTTGTGATTTAGCAGGTACATCACATTCTGAGTGTTCAAAGCACACCGAGTTCCTCTGTTTTTCTCCCTATGGACCAATAATGCATTCCTGTAATCAGTGTGTCTACACTTCATTATTTGCTGTGGCCTTGTGCCTGGAGTGGGGGCAGGAATCAGGGAGGACTTTGAACGTCACAGGTAAATATGACCTGAAGAAACCAGATAAGACATCTTGGTGATGTTTTAAAAATATTCTTTCACAAACTCTTCTTTTCCTTCATCCCTCTGTCTCCATCTCATTCTTTTCTTACATATTCACTGTCAAACACAGACAAGTGCCTCTTTCTGAGTATGCCGTTGCATTAGCACCATTGGAGGAAGTCATAGGTAATAAGACATTTCTTTTCTGGTAACAACACTTGCCCTCTTTATTTTCCACTCATTTTCCTTACTTTCTTTAAGAATCACTGCCCATCATTATCATCCCACCCAGTTAGGAAAATCCACAAGTCCACCAAATCCCCGTCATCCATTTATTAAAATATTACCATCCACAAATTTCTCATTTCCTCTGCTGTGGAAAGCCTGTGTACATATTGTAGCATTTATATGCTGCTTGGGCTAATTTTACAGATGTAAAACTTTAGTTCAGAAAGATTAAGTAATTCATCCAACAGCTCATTCAAGGTTCTTAATTAAGGTCTAGCTTCCCTTCTTTTCCATGTTCGTTGCTCATAGTAAATATTTCTGATAATTAAGACCACCCCCTGATGACAGCATGAGCTCTAAGCTTTCCACTTAGATACTTTAGCATGCCTACAGCCGACCCTCATAACCAGCAATTTGACTAATTTCATCAGTGATTGTTTCTGAAAGTGGTAGCTCCTCCCAGCTTTCAGTTAAAGGTGAATTTTCAAACATTTAAAAACATTCATGGGTTTCTTAAGTGATACAAGCCCACAGGCAGAAATTCCAATTTAAGCAGGTGATATCCTGCTTTCAGAGGCTGAAGCTTTTGAGGGTCTGTGAATTTGCTTTAATCTGCTGCTGGGAACATTGCACATTGCTCAGAAACAGCTGCCAGCCTGAGGAACTGAGCGTGAATGACAGAAGTGTTTCTGTTGTCCAGGTTGCCGTATGGTGTGAGACAGTATGGGTGATCACAGGAGGGAACTAGAGGGAATTCCAGGATGAGGAACTTAGCCATAAGACTAGGAAGTGAGAGATAAGAAATGGAAGTCTCAGAGGAAAGAAAATTTTCCCAGCTGAAGTCCTCCAACCTACTCACCAGCGTGGGTCCTCAGGGCACTTGATTGCTGGGGATTAGGTGCAGTCCAGCCTGATGCCTCTGGAGTGTTCAAGCATAAATCACAACTCCTCATTCCATTGCCCCAGCCATGAGAATTCCAGATCAGAATCTGCAAACATCTCTGTGAGGCCCCAGTAAAATATCAGGCTAAGGAAGGAACAGTAGGAGCAAAGAAACACTCTGGATTTTCACCTACCACTTGTGTTGTTCTAGTAGAAAACATACTGTAACAATGACATCATTGTTAGTATCTGGGGTAGCAAATGGCACAGGGAACATGGGCTGTCAGTACAGAAGAGGGCCACATGGAACCCCCTCATTTCTGCTACAGTAGAATGCCTTTGACTCCCTGCTTATGGCAGCTAAGAGACATTGGTATAGCATCTACTGAGTTGTGCAAGTAGGCGCATGTGAAAATCTGCTTCTATATTACTCCCAGATTTGTATTTTATATCTCTGACCCTTTAGATTTATTTTTGTGTATCAAGACACTTTTTTTCTTTTCCAAGTGAGTCCTTGTACTTCTATTTGATACTCTTATTGACTCTCCCTCCCCCCACCCCCACAGCGTTGAAATTTCACATGTTTATATACTAAATTCCACAGGGAAATGCCAATCACTCTATCCCTGGAATGGGAAAAGAAAACAGTGAGTTAAGAAACTCCGTTGCCACTCAAGCAAGAAATATATTTTCTCCTTTTTGAAATATTTAAGGAACGAAAAGGTAAAAGGCAAGGGGAAATGTTGTGTGTCTTGAAGGTTCTCATTTGATCAAAGCAGGAGTGCAGGGGTTCATCTATACTAATTTTAAGCTAATTACCCTGCCCACTCTTTGACACAAGTGCCACTCAAGCAAGAAATATATTTTCTCCTTTTTGAAATATTTAAGGAACGAAAAGGTAAAAGGCAAGGGGAAATGTTGTGTGTCTTGAAGGTTCTCATTTGATCAAAGCAGGAGTGTAGGGGTTCATCTATACTAATTTTAAGCTAATTACCCTGCCCACTGTTTGACACAATAGGACACTGTTACTGAGTTGAGAAGTAGGGACATTGCAATGACAGTGTGCCAGGTCAGCTACAACCTGAATTTCTAACTACTTTATACACATTTTATGTGCTAGTTTAGGTACATCTGATTGTAGATGCTTGTATGGGATGAGGAATGATGCTTTTGTTTGGTCAGAACAGTCAACATTATTTTAATATTCTTTTCTGAACTTCTTTGTTATGAAAATCAAACCGACAACAACATAAATTGTTTGTGGGGAATCTTAAGATAATTCTGCAATGGTGTTTGGTAGGCTTATTCACGTACTGAATAATTACCATAACGAATGATGGTTTAAATAAAAAAATGAATGGCAAACAAAGAGATCATTCTCCAGAGCAATTCTAAAGCCTATTTGGGGTGACTAGAACCTTAATTTGGAAACATTTATTCCTGAAGTATGGGACAATAAATGTACAAAGGTCATTTAATAAAGAGGATGTGTGTAGCTTTTTTGGTTTTTTTTTTTTTTTTTTTTTTTTTGACTTACAGTATTGACACTGGGGGTAAAAGTGTAAACTTTTGGAGATTTGTAAGAGAACTTAGAAACAACAGAAGACGATTCCTTGTAACTACAAAATAATATCTGTGGGCACACTGGCATGCATTGATGGTTCATGTCACTAGCTCCATTCTGCAGGACACCAAGAGTTGCAAGAGATGGACTATTTAAACTTGTTTAACGCTTCATTATAAAAAACAATGCAAAGATTAACAGACTTTAAAATGTTTCATCAAGATAGGATAATAAAGGCATATTTTCATTGGTGTAGAAAATACTGAAGTAAAATTGCTGGACAGTCTCTTAAAGCCCAGTATGCCATTGGATACTTGGCAATGCTCTCTTCCTGAAGAATGCCCATGTTCAGTAGAGATATTTTAATGTTGTAATTACACTGTCTTGATGCCCCTTTGCTAGTACAAGTTTGTGTGTGTAGTGGAGAGTTCTTAGGGATTGGACACGGAAACTTATGTGTACTGAGCACATGTGACACAGACCTATGGCCCAGCTTCTTGATGACTCTTGCAATTATACATTGATGAGAATGTTCAGGTCATTGTGTAAAGTTTTAACTTAATTGATCATTAGTATTTTCTTAAATTTTGTGTGTATGACAAGATGTGTCTCTTTTCTAGACCTGTGCTAGCACAAAAATCCCAAAATTTAACAGGAATTATATTGATGATAACACATAGATATATACCTCAAATTACCAAACCCTGACTACAAAGTGCTTTACTGTGTCCCTTCTTGAACATCAACTCAATTACATTAGTGGAAAATTTTAGCCATGATATCCCATGGCAAACTGCAGTCAAGGCATAGGCCCTAAGAATATGTATGGAATCACCTCCAGGTGGTTTAGCATAAAACACCATGAAAGCAAAATGACTTTCATATCTAGACCTGAGTTTTATACCCAAGAAATATCATACATACACAGACATGCCAAAATTCAGAAAAAAACAAAAACACAAACTGCAGCTGTGGCCCCAGACATTATGATAAGGAACAATCAGGTCTTTGGCTACCTCCTGTGAAGACCAAGGATAACCACAGTTGCAGTTTAGGTATATCTTCTGACAACTTTCTTTTCCTTTTCCTTAGAAGTCATTGAACATAACATAAAAAGACAAGAAACGAAGATTGCAGGCCAGTTGCTAAAATGCTTTCCAGCATGAAAGACGCCTTAGGTTTTAACTCCAAAACTACACAAACAGGGTATGGTGTCCTGTGTTTGTGATCCTAGCACTCCAGAGGCGGAGGCAGGAAGATCCTGAGTTCAAGGCTGCCCTCTGTTACATACAAAGTTTGAGGTTATTCTGGGCATTATGAAGCTCTGTCTTCAAAAAGAAAATAAATAAAATAAAAACACTGTGTCACTCAATGGAGACCACTCATGTAGGTTTACAAGACCACACATGAATGGAAGGCTTGCCAGGCACAACAGACAGTCACTGCCTGCACAGTGACCATATATCTCCCCCTTTCCCTTGGCCACCCTATTTCTTGCTCAGGCAGTGAGCAGATCTATCACTTGATGTTGGAGAAGATAGGCTCTTCTGTTCTCAAGGGACAAAACATTACAGACTTCTCACCAAAATGCAGGCTGCTCAATGATAGTAAAAATAAATCAGAAGAAGGTGTTATTCAATACATTAAGGATGTAGTTGTAACTTTAAAGACTAAAAAAAAAAAAAAAGACAACATAAATCTGAAAGAAAAACAGTAGAAGCAAGAACACAACATGCTAAGATATTTAACCATTTTCAAAATTTCTAGATATTTATCATATATAAATAGCAGAACATCATTTTTCATTAAGGGAGCTTAATTGCATCAGAGTAAATGTATTTGGACAGGCTAGTGTATGCTTTGAGATTAGAGCTTTAAGTTTTTCGAGACCTCCTTTCAGGAGGTCAGCTACTCATCTAAAGAATAAACACAAACACAGACCTCAAGGTCCTTCTCCTCTTCTTAAACTGATTATCCCTCACCCATGATGGCCATCTAGCTTTTTGCATGAAAGATGAGCACGGATACAAACGGGCCACACTCGAACATCGGAGCCTGATGTCATCAGAGAATTATGGACACTCCAGTGCTTATGTCATAGGGATAAGAATGTCTTTTCAGCTTTGGAACTGGACTTAAGGTAAACACTTTAAAACAAATTAGCCAAAATGTCAATTATGGCAGTAGACACCCCACAGAGTTAAGGTTCCAACGTAAGAACAGAATAGCCATGATCTGGCTTCCTCAGCCATGGCTGTGACATGAATTGTGTTGTTCTAATTCACATGGAAATCATACCGACCATAGAGTCGGGTTATTTCTGTAAATCAATTCACAGGTTCTAAAAGCAGGAAGCCAAGAGCAGAGTGTTCAAGGCATCAAACAGTCCCTATGTATGTGAGAACAGGTGACATTCTAGCTGGGGCTTCCAAACATTCCTGAAAAATTGACAAAAGTAGCATGAACAATTTTAATATTCTATATCATTTGTTGATTGAAATTGATTGTTTGAAATAAGTTTAAATGCATTGAATTTTAGTTAAACATACTTACTTTATTCATTTTCAGAGACTACGACTGTGTAGACTAATTTTAAACAAACATTTTAAAGGTATTATCTTAATTGGTTTACTCTCCTCGTCAGAATTATTTTTTAATTGGTACAGACAAGTACATTCCACAAGTTGACAACATATTTTCCTAAACATTTTCCTTGACTACATTTCTGCTGACTCTGAATTCCCTTAGGCATGGTGTTGCTCTTTCATTAGAAATTCACCATCTGAGGCTGTAGGGTGCTTCACTGCTCCCTCACAATTACTCTTCATTTAGCACCATGTCCCTTTCACCACTTTAAAATTCAATCCCTCTCCTAATTGTTTTCTAACCCTACTTATGCAAAACCTGAGTCCTATCCTTTCCCCCTTTCTGAGATATGACTCACTAATGAAAAATAGCCTAGATATTTATTTAGTCATTACAAAACCATATACCTTCTTTATAATTTTTTCCAGGCTTGGTTTGGTAGCTGGCATGCTGCAGTGGATAAGGATTAAGGGCCATCTGTTTACCCAAGAACATGGTTTAAGTGCCTGTAGTTAGAACCTAGGGAGGATGTGTGCTATGTTCCCACATACTTTCACTAGTTCATGCAATGTCTGTATTATCTAGTAGACACAAAACTTGAAGTTGTATAATTTAAATGTGCTGATAAAAAACAGCTTATATGCTGTTAAGTTAGTTAGGAGCATATCAGTTTTCTTTTGTTTCTGAGATAATTTTAAAATCACCCCCCCACACACACACACACGACTAAGTAGAAGCTTCATTTGATAAGAAATTGGATCAAAACCCCACACTACTTCTGTCCTTAAACTCTTTAGAAAGTTTCACTGTTTAGCATGTAGGTAAACAAAGAATGCATCGCAGGAGGAAATTAAAAAATAGCAATTCAGACTTCTATTTAAAGTAGTTTTAGCATGCCTGCTAGTCAGCACAGGGAATCTGTACAAACACAGCCAGGACACTTGGCAGCAGCAATTAACGAAAGAACTCAGGGAAGGCAATAAACGACCACACTGCAGTGAGGAAGAGCAACACGCTCCACGTCCAGTTTGTTGCCACGATTCAGACACATACTGTGGAGAGCTCTGACGGTGAGCAAGAGCATAAGCAAAGCCACACACAGTCAACCACCTAAATTTTTGGTGCTACATCCCCTCTCCCCCAAATTATCAAACATAATCAACAGCAGTACCTGGCAATTTGTCTCCAAATTAAGGAAAAGCCCGCTCTCACCTTGCACAAACACACACTTCAGTGGTCAGTGACAGATGCAGGCTGGGAGACTCAGCAGCTGCTTTGCCCTGAGCCGCTTAGTGCACACTTCAGCCGGCTAAGGTCCCATTATGTTTGCTCATTGCAGTTTCTCCCATGACTCCATCACCCAGGAATGGAAA